ATTGTGATTTTGACTTTAATGTTAAAAGTGACTCTACTCCAAGCCATATTTTATGTTAAAAGAGGGGGTGGGGTGGGGTGTGTGTTTCAATCTGCTTGAGAGCTTTGAGAGTGAAGATTTTTTTTCATTGGAAATAATAACTAAAAAAAAATTTCCCTTGAATGTTAAGAAAATACAACGTTGATTTCAAATAACCAGTGTTTTTATATCATCAAAATCTTTTGATTCTTGAGAGCATAGGAATAGAAATTAGATTTAGGTTTTTTACTGTTTTGTTGCACAGCAATTTCAGTAGTATGACTTCAGTCTTGATTTTAACCTTTCAATTGCCTGGGAGAAGGAAGTGCTAAAACCTTCATTTTATGCTTTGGGTGCTCTTGAAATGATCCATTTAGATTAAAATTAACGTTTTTGTGAATATTATGATAGATTTTTGACATGTCTATAATTATTTTAAATGCTATATATAATGTATCTATTTTTATTTGACTATTAAATATTTGGAAATGTAGTTTATTTCCATCTGCTTTGTAAATGGAACGTGGTTTTAAATGTTTCTTTTTGAGGGGCTGTTGGGTGTGTTGTGCATTTTGAAGTCTTTTAAGGAGAATTATCAGTAGAGAATTTAACATGCAGTAAAAATAAACATGTAAATAAATATATAAAAGGTGCATAATATTTCATACTTTTGTGTGTTTAAAATACTTCCATGTCTCCTAAATTTTTAGCTGCAGCATGAGAAAGCTGAACTGGAGCAGCACTTAGAGCAGGAACAGGAATTTCAAGTGAACAAACTGATGAAGAAGATTAAAAAACTGGAAAATGATACAATTTCGAAGCAGCTCACCCTGGAGCAGGTAACTCCTTACTTTCAGAATTATATGACTGTAAAACCAAGGGGTTCTGAAAAAAAAAGCAACTTTTTTTATATTAGATTTGTCTTAATTTTTTAAGTATGTAAGAAACTGGGAGATACCAAGAATAAGAAAAGTCAGTTTGACTTTCAAAGCAATAAATAATTAACACAATTTATTATGAGAGACTTTGATTAATTTCTTTTCATGGCCGTTACAGCTTTTAGTAGCCTTGCTGCAGGCCTTTATGTCTGCTGGACAGCTGTGAGTTTTGCAAATGCAACTTTTTTGTAAGTAATTCTTGTTGCTATCGATCACCTTCCACACATAGTGCTAGTGAGAAAGGCTGTCACTTATGATAGTGGTTAAGTAAATGATACGTATATGGTTTAGTTGTGCTCTAGGTCATCTTTTTGTGGCAGCTTGGATAGCATAGGACTTGACTTGTGAGATGTCAGCTGTGTATATACTTAAAAAGATTTGGGATTTGACTACATCGAACTCCCTTTCTCCCTAGACAGTTACAAAGATTGCAGAGATAAAGCACCACTTGTTTGGTCGTGTTCCCACTGGAAGTTTAGACATTGGGACTGCTCTTACGTCTAGTTTTAGGAACATACATCAAAGCATCTCAGTGACGTTAGTAGGAGTCCTTTTGACTTAAAAGGCAAGCTGATGAAACATTTAGGCTTGTTAAAGAACTTCAGGTTTTCTGGCTTGTAGAAGTCCAATAATTTGACTGGTGTAAATATAGTACGTTATTTCTGTGATTTTTTTTTTTTTTTTTTTAATGGTTCTCATCAGATGTGAAACTTTTTTGTGGTGGTAATCTGAATTTCTACCAGTTTTGTGTAACTCTCCTATTTCTGTTGACATTGTGGATAAATTAATTAATGGCTATCTTAATGGTGAAATGGGTTTTGATTCTTATGCTGACATTCTATATGAAGGGATCTATGGAACAAATTGAAAGGTAGATGTAGTTGTCAGCAAATCCTTAACCAGCATGGAAATTAACATGAGATTACACAGAATCATAGAATCACAGGTTGAAATAACCCTCTTAGCCACAAGGTGGTGGTGGCGACCACTTAAAGTGCAAAGTAAGCTTACATATTAAGCTGGTTTAGTCTTGAAATGTTAGCATGAACCACAGCTGAAATCTTAATGATATTTATTTTTGTATAGTTGTTCTGGGCAGACTGACTTGTGAAATCATAAAATCTGAAACTTGATGCTACATTTGAATATCAGTGATAGGTTGTTCAAAAAGCATGAATGTGCTGACCTTGGAAACTTACTGTTTATGAAGATGTTAAATTTGGCTGTCAGTCTTACTTAGAAATTCCGTGTGTATTTATCTGTAATGCAATATATACCTTTGTTTTCTCTTACAGTGAGGTGTAGTAAATCTCAAGTTACTTTGAACTTCAGCATGCTTTCTTCTCTCACACAATTTAAAATAGGCTTATTGTGCTGATTAACCAGCTGAAACAACAGCCTTTGGGGCATATGCTGTACCTAGCAAGAAGCAACCAAAAGTTGTGAGCAGAGCAATGTTGCCTTTTATTGTACAAACAGGGAATTAAGGAAGAGAGATTGCCACAACGCTTCAACATAATGTTTGGGAGACCTGTAAAACAAGCCTTGGAAGGAGTACTTCAGCAATGCTTTGAACAAAATCTAGGGCTCCATTACTAGATCTATCACTGTAATCAATGAGCACATATGCTCACTAAACTATCATTTTTAAAATATGGGACATGAATTATCTATGCTTTATGTCCTTCCCACTTTGCTTTCTCTCGTCTGAGCTGCTTATGCCACAGGTGATCATTAGGTAGCCAGTTTGTAGCAGTGATGGTTGCATAGAATGTTATTTCTAAATAAAAAATTATGTTGGATCTTAGGGTCCAAATGTGACCTTATTTTTCTTAAGTCAGCTTGAAGTGACAGAACATTCTTCTCTGAAGGCTGATGGTGAAGGAATTTGCAACATGTGACTACTTCATTAACTGAATGTCTCAGTTAAAATGAGCAATAATGTTCTGTGTTATAGTTGAGTAAAGTCTTCTGGAAAGGTATTCTTGGAGAGCAGCAAAGAGTTAAAGCTACAAAGGGGGAGAGGCAGATGAGAAGCAGAGAAGTGAAATTTGGGATAGTGGGCTTAGGCAGAGATCATATTCAACTTTCATCGATTTGGAAGATCTCCATTTCAGGAGGGAACAGTTGTGCTTATCAGTAAATTGGCAAGAAGACTGATGAAGCAGTAATCCAGGAATACAGAGACAATGGATATTTTAGCTGCATTTGAAGTAAAGTGAGTGTATGTGTGAGAGAGAGAAATGAGAAGAAACGCAATTGAATGGTGAGGAAGGTTAAACGGATTTTTTCCTTCCTCTGAAGGGAAGATTAAGGTCCAAAAAAGCAAGCAATACTTTGTTGTTTCTCTGTTGTGATGGTAAATATTAAATGATGTCTGATTAGAATGTAACTTTGAACTCTTATAAGAAGACACTAGTATTGACGTTTGTGCTGGTTTGGTCTTGAGATACAATCCCATCCTGCTTATTTTAGTTCAATGTATTACCTTGTTCCTAAAAATTCATTAACGAGAGTTCGACTACATTGCACCCGAAACCACCTAGTAAAAAACAAATATACCTGTTCTCTGAATTCACAGCTCAGGTCAGGATGCTGCAGTCGCTTCTCCTGTAGGTTGAATTCGAGGTGTTCATCCTCAAAACTTTAATATCCTGTTACTGGGAGGAACTGAGACAGCACTTAAGATCAGGAAAGGAAGATACTTGCTTCCAGTTTGTTTTCATAGTGCTGGAAATATGGAGTTTTAGGTCTGTTTCACAACCAGATTTCTTTGGTGTTTGATCAGAGCATGTCTGTCAGCCTTTAGGACGCATCACAAGGCTCATTTGTTTATGGTTGCTGAGGATTTGACTTTGACATTGTGCATGCTCACTTACATGCAGATATCTGATTGATGGACTCTGGTTGCTATAATACTAATTGTAATCTCAGATTTTTCAAATCCAAGGTTGTAAATAATATACTCTTGTCTTCAAATGCCAGTGTGCTCTTCTTCCTACCATTAAATGAAATAGATTTGTTTTCACCAGTATGTTTTTGTAGGTTTGTTTGTGCTAGATAAATAACGTAGTTGTAAAGAAGACTCTGTCAGAGCAGATGAGTCTGAACCATGCTGCATTGCAGTGATGCAAAAACCATTGCTGCAGAAGTAGTGTTCTGCAGTCAAACCTTTTTTCATCATATGTGTGTATAGATAGCTATGCCATGCAGTGGAGATCTGCATGTTGGTAATGCAGAAGCATGGTGTGCAGATTCCCAGAACGTTTTGTATACTTCCTTCCCTCTGAATGCTGTCAGCCCCGAACACTGGCCAAATTGACTGATGAGCAGTGCCCTAAGGCAAAGCGTCCTGTATCTCCCAGGGCTGAGCCCTTTGCCTTTGTACGACTGCATCTCCTGCTGGTGTGGGGAACAAAGTGTTGGTCAGGATCCAAATTCTCATCCCTTGTGTGAGGCTGAAGCATGTTGCTCCTGACTTCTATAAAAGAGAAGTGTAAGTTCCCTCAGCTGGTAATGTACACCTGGACACTCAGACATGGAAAAATTTCCTAAACAGTGTTTCTTTTTCTAATTATGTTCACTGTTACTCATCAATATATGTCTGTTTTTACTTTGAGTAACTGATTCCTCTAAGCTTTAAAGAAGAAAGTTGTACATTCACTAAACTTACACTGTTACCTGAACTGCATAAGTTTGAATTTTGTTTGGGTACCTCAATATTAATTTAGTAGTTAGCACAGAGCCCTTACAGATTTAAATGCTGTAATAGCACTTCACCCAGTGATGCAGTAAATGTATGAGGACCTCACTTAATCTGTTTTCAGTCTTTCCATTTTGTAATGTGGAATTATTTGCCCATCAGGAAAGTGGTGAGTGTTAACTAAGGCTTGGCTGGGAAGAACAGATCCGTGCCATTTTTTCCACCTGTAAAGGTGTCGATCTAGTCCCATATGTTTCTTTATTGCTAACTTCTGGAGTTTAGCTGCCAGAGTTACTGAATAAGATCAGCTGTGCCTTTTAGTATTCTAGCTTATTCTTATTAATATTTGCATTGTATTTGTACTAAAATACTAATAATAGATTACTTCCTATGTGGTTCTACATTATATCTGTTTTTATTAGCTTGTAGTAGAATCAAGAATGTTTGTTCACACAGTAAGTGAATGGGAATAATGTTAAGTGTTCTCTCTTCGCTAAGATAGAAATACATTTGTTTCTGCTAGTAAGGGCTGATACAGTAGCACTTAAGGCAGTTCACAACATTTTTTCTTCACGATTTTTGTTATGTCGCTCCTTTATCTAACACAAGGCAAACATGACTTCTCTTACGTTTCTGGCTTACTTAACTGTGATTCTTCCACTAAAAAAGTCTAAAACTTTTGAGAAGAATAAATGTTGGTGTTGTGGACAGTAAATTCAGTTTGAACTTGAGACGCATGGAATAGGAGAAGTCTTTGAATAGGCTTGTCATGCCGTCGGTGACAGTGTATCCAGGTTTCAAGCTCCTCCTTGTTGGCCAGAGACAGCAAGTTCTGGGAGAAAAATTTCTGTTAAGAAGATGACAACTGTGCAACTCCTGAATCTCTTTTATCACTGGCTCTGTGACCAGTGTGTTGTGCCTGATTTTTCTGTCGTCTTCACCTACTCCATGCTGTCATAGAGCATCATGTAAAATGGTAGTGTTACAGCAATGATCTTTGCTAATGATAGTTCCTTGCAAAAAATACATTTCCATCATTTTCGTTGATTGTTTTTCCTCTCCAGCTAAGACGTGAGAAGATTGACCTTGAAAATACTTTGGAACAAGAACAAGAAGCACTAGTGAATCGTCTCTGGAAGAGGATGGATAAGCTGGAAGCAGAAAAACGGTTTGTCTTGTTGCAGTGTGTGTGTTACTGTGGGAGAGAACATTTAATGCCTTATGGTTCTGGATTAAATATGTTCATCTCTGTCCCATAAGAGTTGTTTAATCAATGAAAGCCTGGAAGTTAAAGCAGTTGTAAAGCTCCGTGTTTACATGATGCACATCCTTGATTGCTTAAAGTAGATGAAGCTAAATAGTATAAGACATGATCTGAGAAAGCTCAAAGGAACTTGCTGAGGTTTTTTTGACTGCTGATAGACTCCTTTTACAGCTTCTGGTTTGGGGTCAGCTTTATATTTTCTCTGGGCCACAAATAATGTGGTGGTTTAATTTATTTGTTGTATGAGAAGCTCCTGTTTTTCCCCTGTTTGCTCGAAGAAATCTTCAGCTTTTTCCTCAGTGGTGTGCACCCATGTCATTGAGACTTCCTGCTGCTTCCTCAATAGAAGTTAAGACTGTGAGACTTTGTATTCGTGAGAAAGCCAAGATTAAAAATACATATTAAAGCAACCCTGTCTTTAATGCCATATCATAAGAACTCTGATTTTGGGGTGAGTAGAGGAGAAGAGATGATTAATACCTTATTTTATTCTACGTGTTTAAGGACAGCTGTATTAGTGTGACTCTGAATCTTAACTGGGGTCTCAGAAAACACCTGAGCCGAGGTGAACTGCAGGTTTCGTAGTTTTATTTTACAGAGCCCTGATGTGAACATATGATACTCAACAGTGGTAAAATCTATAGCAGGATGGTCCTTTGGTAGGACTTTTGTGCATCTTAAATTCTAAGCCTTCTTTAAGCCAAACCATTTATGGCTTAATTTATCTCAGACTGTGCGCCTTCTTATGAGGAGCTATGGTGGAATCAGACCATATTTTAGTACTACTTTGTATGGTATGTGTGAATACTAGGCCATGCAAAGAGTTGTGCTTGCATAGTGCTGTCCCTGCTCTTCAGGGCAGAGTTGGATCTGCCCAATCAACGTGTTTTTAGTGAAGGACAGTTTCATGCTTTCAGGCTGAAAAATACTTCATATGTTCATATTTAGAACATTTAATATCTACCATATGTGTATTTCATTGTAAGAGAAGTTCATTATTCCTGAATTTACAATCAGTTATTTGAGGTATATGAAACCTTGACTATATGGAATACCTTGGAGATTAAAAAAAAAAAAAACAAAACCCAAACAAACAACAATTCAGACTATTTGACTATGCTTCAGAAAATGTCTGTTTTCACTTTTTATAATGGTGAAACGCAGAGAAGCTTGTTTGTCATCATAGATGTACTTTACTCATCTTTTCATCTTGAATATGTGTTATTTCTCTAAGAATATAGATGTAGAAACTCTCAGGACATTAAATGAATTTGCTTAGAAATGATTTTGTGGAATATGTAGCATTTGAGTTTAAAACTGAGGTAACAATATGTAGTCCAGAATTTTTTTCCTGAACTGTGCGCAGAAATATTTGGGAGTGCCAATGTTTGAATATTTTAGAAAATCCATCTGTGCTTGGAAACAAATTTTACCTTTTTTTATTTTGAGTTAAAAAGGAAAACATTATAAATCCTCCTAAAATTCTTTTCCCAAAACCAGTAATTAAAATAAATCTTATATACCTGTCAGAATCCTTGCAGTGGCTTTCTGGAGGATTGAAAGGGTTTTCTTTTCATTAGAATTGAAGGTAAAATTTGAACTATTTTTCATACAGAATTTTGCAGGAGAAATTAGACCAGCCAGTGTCTGCTCCACCATCACCCAGAGACATATCAATGGAGATAGATTCTCCAGAAAATATGATGAGACATATCAGATTTTTAAAGAATGAAGTGGAGAGGTTAAAGAAACAACTGAGGGCTGCACAGTTACAGCGTGAGTAAACACATTTTAAAAAAATCTTTTTAAGTTTGTGTAATGTCAGATTTTCGTATATACTTCCATGAGTTTGAATTTAAGTTAGAAGTGGAAAAAAATAGGGCAGGTTTGGATTAAAACATTTTCATAACAGCAGTGTTGTTGCTTGTTGATGTATTTATACTGCAGTTTATGGGGTTTTTGCTTTGCTAGAAGTGTGTTTGGAAGAATCAAGAGATATTTCTTGAATATTTTGAGCCAGACAAAATGTTTCTATCTTTCTTGTCTCTTTTTTCAGACATTTAGCAGTATTTCAACTTACAGATTTTTCAGACCGTTCTTATGCTCTACTTTGTAAGAGTCTTGTTATAAATTAAGAATTACTCAAAAGAATTTACAGCTAGCAAAATAAATTTCAGTTGTATTTAGGAATTTCACTTGTTAATGATTGCAGCTGCCTTTAAATAATTGTTTGTAGCTGTGTTAGACTAATTGTTCAGGCAGCTGTTTGACTTCACAATATAGCAGAAAAAGTAATCTTATTTTGGTCTTACCTATGCAAGATTTCTTTGAAGGTGAACAGAATAAACAGTTGTGCAGAAGTCCTTGTGTTTCTGTTGTGAAACGTCGTGGACCCTTGACCAGAAATGGAAAGCCTGCTTTTTGTCTGGCCTTTGAAGAGGCTACGGCTCTAAGCCTGTTTTCTCAGCTGGCAGGAAGGTCACGTGCACCTTCCTGTGATCTTTGCAATGCCAAGCCTTTGTTCCTTCATGCTAAATCGAAAAATTCTATCTGAGTTTCATCAGTTCTGCCTAGTTCCTATTCAGTGGCATTATATTTCAATTTATAGGTAAGTAGATACCTAACTATATAGACAGAAAAATTTCAGCGAGAGGGAAACAGGCAATATTCTCCCCCTATAGTGTGCTGGTCTTGACAGGCTAAGGAGTATTTCAGCCCCTGTTTAGAGAAATAGCTTGTCAGAGGCAGCGGCCTTCCTTAAAGACAGGGATGACGGGAGAGTGCTCTTTGGCAGAGGCCTTGTGCGGAAGTTTGTGGTATTAGTAATTTGTCGGTTAAAAGAAGATAAGGACTGCTAACCTTTGTGCTTGCCAATTCTGCACTGCAGCCTTCTCTTACTGAACTTCAGAACAAGAGCAAGGCTTTAGATTTGAAGTACTCTTTGTACAAATCTAGCCTAGTTAATTTCACTTCAAGTGTTCTTTTATGAGCACTTTTTAAGTGGTTTCCTTTTGAATTATTTTGATTTAGGGTAGAAATTTTGAAGCATTTAAAGTCAAATTATCTTTGAAAATAAGATCTTGGTTTGAAAGTACTCTTTCAAAAGTGAAGAGATTAAACAGAGCTGCAATCTGAGTAGCAATGCTGGTAGAAAAAGTGGATGTGCTAGCCTGCAAGCAGAAGATGAAACTGAAATGCAGTTTTCAGTTTGGTGTTTGCAATATGTGGCCATTAGAGAACCTCTAGTATTACTCAGAAATACTTAATAAAATCTGCTTACTAAATTCTGATACTGGTATTACATCTTGTATTCCGGAAGCCCTTTCTTCTAGTCTAGGGACTGTTTTGGTATAATAATAGTTTTAAATAAGTGATACTGTTGCATTGGAAGTGTTATTTCTGCAGAAGAGAGATAAATCATGTATTGTTGATAGTTTGGGAACAGTCTTCGAAAACAAGAATATTCTTTTGATTGAAGGGTGCTGCATGAAGAAGTGATCACAAATCACGATTAATTGTAATGTAGATATTTTTGTTGATATTAATTTTTAATATCAATGAATTAAATGTAAACTCGATCAAACATTAGAAAATATCACAAAATACATTAGGTATGTCATAAGTCTTCAGCATGTGTTCCGTTTTATTTAAATAATCTGTCAAAATGCTTTGCAGCTTTCCATAATTTGATTTTATCACTTTAAATATCCTGTGATACCAGAATATTTAAGTGATATTTGCTGAACTTGTTGAGAATTGCAAACTCAAATTTCCTTTTGATATAAAGAGTAAACCACATGTTGGCTTTTAATATCTGGCCAATCTCTATGATAAAATGTGTAATTGAAAGAATGCTATAGAATACGTGTAAGGTAGCAATTTAAATACAAGTTTGAATGTTCTGGGTTTCAGAACTTGTTTTGTACTTCCTTTGAAATGGAAATATGCCTTTAAAACCTTTCTTCTGTGTGTTGTAGTAAAATCTTTGTGAACGTGGAATAGCTTTATTTTAATGGAGCAGGAGTCATTGTATTTCTTCTTTATGGTTTTGGTTTTATTATTTTCTTCATGGCTTCTTTTCCTTCCTTTTCAAATTCATTGAAGTAAATGCTTAAAACTTTCTTTGTTTATTACCTTTTATTTCCAAAATTGCTGTTAACCAGTAATTTATTTTAGTAGCTTCTGTTCTGAATTAGGCTTTGAACTAATCAGAGATGAGAATTTTGAGTGATCCATCGTGAGCATTTTCTACACGCTCATTCTTGAAGTACTGGAGTAAAATTAGACACAACATACTTGCCTGTCTGTGAAATTGAACTTCAATCAGATTTTAACAAAATTCTGGGTTTCAGATTCAGAGAAGATGGCACAATATTTAGAAGAGGAGCGACATATGAGAGAAGAAAACTTGAGACTTCAAAGAAAATTACAGAGGGAAATGGAACGTAGGGAAGCACTTTGTAGGCAGCTGTCAGAAAGTGAATCCAGCTTAGAAATGGACGATGAAAGGTTTGTATTTTCTAGCCATCCAGATATGTTGGCATTGAGCTTATTAATCAATACACACACTTCTTTTTTAATATTATAGAATTAAGTATTTATAGAAAAAACCTATATATGGATTTAGTATATGTATCAAATTTCATCATGGTCCAGAAATATCTTCAGTAGAATTATATCAAACTTGTGTAGAAGTTGCAGCATTTTTAACAATGAGAAGGAAAATATTTGTATCTGAAGATTGCTTAGGGTTTTGATAATGTATGTTGAAATAAATATAGCTGTGGAGTTGAGATTCAGAATAATTCGATCATAGTACATTTGTTTTGCCCCTGACTTGGTAACTGTAAGGGATTCTATGAGACAGGAACAATGTCCTTACTTGGGGCTAATTTTTCCTTTGCAGAAAGTAAAATGTGTTCAGCCAAATACAACGAGGTACTGTGTAAAGCCTTAGAGAGAGGAAGCATTTCCAGAACTGTTGGGTTGTTCAAACCATAACGTCCTTGATTTTTTTTCATCTAATGCAAACTGTGTTGCTTACACTGACCTTACAGATAGTCTTGAGTTTTTCATGGTTTTATATGATGCCTTTTACTGTTTTCTCACATCATAGTTGTAAAACAGTGTTATATCTTGAAAGAGGTATTTTAAGTACACTTTGAATAAAACATTCTTATGTCTTATCAAATACTTATTATTTTGTACTGTTTTACATTATTGTGGATTTATAGTGGTCCTTTAAAAAAAAAAGTTACCCTGTGCTGTGTGTTCTTCTGATACTGAGATATTTCTTCTTGGGTCGTCAGTATATTTATTGTAAGTCATAATTTACCAGAAACAAAGTACCAGATAATTTATTTCAAGGAGCACCCTTAAAAGTTCAAGGCAGTGTTTTCATTTAAATGAAAACTAACTAAGATGTTGTGAATGCTATATAAATTAAATTTAGAAACACAGGATTCTGGTGTTTTGAATCTACTTTTACTAGCCTAATATTCTCTGCCAATATTTACATTGTAATGAAAATACAGTCAAAATATAAATCTACATGAATTACTACATATTAATCCAAAAATGTGCAGTGTCCTAGTAATTTCTTTTGTCAACCAGTTCTAAGTAGTGATAATCAATAACACACAGGAAAATTTGATTAACTGCTCTATACTTCTAAGAAATTTCATTATCATGTTGATTTTCTTGGCACTACAAAGCCATGACCGATCTCTCCAGGACAGGTATTTGCAGTGTAAGTAATAAAAATAAGTAAAGGGAAGGACAAGGCAGGTATTCAAGTGGTTAGTCTTAGGAGAACTTAGGAGACAAAATAATTGTGGAACTACATGCAGTAATGATTTTAAAAATGTAAATTTTTGTCAGCTTATGTTGTCTTCCTAAAAATGATGATGGATCAAATAACCAGTTTTTTCAGTTGCATTCTGTTAGCTGATGTTACTTATTTTTTTGTAGATAGGGGTAGATGAAGATGCTTTATTGAATGCAAAATACACAGCTCTCCCAAAACTTCTTCCTCCCGACTAGCAATAGCTTTGTCTTCTCCATCCTGTTCTCTGGAGTAGTAGGGAAATACCTGAAACCAGGAAGCATACTAATGGTGTGCTGCTATTCCATATCACTTGATCCAGGTATTAGGATGACTTACAGAAAATTGTCACAATTAAATCACAAAGACCACTGCCGTGCTGTAATAGCCATAATGTCTGCATTACAGGTTACTGTGTGTTGCAGAGGTAGCCTAATTGGTTCCATTTCGCTAACTTTGCCATTGGTAGCTCTTTAGAAAAATTCTGTTTAATTAAACTTTAATTTATCAGTTTGTTAATTTTCTGTTGTTCTCCATTGCAGCTACTTTTATTACTTGATCTACTCAAATTTAAACCAACTTTTGTGTCACTACAGTGTACTGCCTGTGTTAGGAGTTGTGATTTAGTAACTCTGAACATCCTGGTTAAAAATCAATAAGATGCAGTATCAATATGTGTTTCAAATAGTTTATGAACTGGCTCACAGACCTCGAAGTAGTCATCATTTTCAGTTCCATCAGATAGGAATATTTTTAATGCTGCTCCGCGTTGTGGCTTTTTCTGTGATCTGGAAATAAATGTAGCTACTAAGAATTTCTGAGAACACAGGTGTAGAAGGCGAGACAAGTAAGAATCAAAGGGCTGTTAGGTAGCTAATTTTGCCTGCTGCTTTGCTGTGTCCGGTAAAGAAACACAGCTAAATGTAATAATATAAACCCAGGTGCACTGATTTGCAACCATATGTGCAGGAGAAGGTGTGCAGGGCAATCTCTAATCTAGACAATAACTGAAAAACATAACTAGAGACTGCATAAGCAAGTCAGCCTGAAAGCTGCCAGCCTAGAGCTGTGGAAAAAACATGTAAAATTACTTTTGAGATATCAACAGTGAGTGGCAAAGTAGGAGCAATTGGTATGATTTTCATCTCCTTCCATATAGCACTTGATGGCTGTGAAGAAGCTTCACTGTATTCAGTGAGCAAAGTACGAATGAATACCACTAAAATTATTAAAGGTGGGGAAAAATGCTTTGCCTGAGGTTCTGATCTGTTCAGTTTATCACAGTGAAGCGTGGGAGGTGTCTTGCAACACAACCTAGAAGTATGTTTAGTGGGAGAAAGTCCTGCGTTCAAGATATGTCTCTATTTCAGTGGCAAAAGACACAAAGAGCGAACATCTAAACGTTGAGACTAGAGGGATTAAAGTAGGAAACAGAGCACGTTTTTAACTGTGAGGCTGATCAGATGTTGGAACAAATTATCAACACTTTAATGCTCTCCCCGCATCCCCCCAGCCCCACCTCCTAATGATTTAAGATTAGTGCTGAATGCCTTTCTGGGAGATACACTCCAGCCAGACAAGCTATTGAGTTCAATGTAGAAATTATGTGTGAAGTGCAAGAATGTTGTATAGGTCAGATTGGATGACATGATTTACACCTCTGGCCTTAATATGTACTATTCTGATTGTATGCAACTTGTACAGTTTTAACTGCAAATGAGTGAGATAAATCTAGCTATTTCCATTGAAAGTTAAGACAGTATCTGAGCCTTCAGTAATGAGAGTTCATGTCATGACTTCCTAAAGGTGACTGATTCTTCATTCATCGAATCTGATACTTATGGGAACTGAAAAAACCACAGTGAAACATTTAAAACATGGCAGATTTTTAAAAGGTTTGATCTAATTATTCTTTACCTTTTTTTGTTAGATATTTTAATGAGATGTCTGCACAAGGATTAAGACCTCGCACTGTGTCCAGTCCTATCCCTTATACACCCTCACCAAGTTCTAGCAGACCTATATCACCTGGTAAATATTTAAGCCGGTTTCTAAAATTATTGTATGCATCACATAGTAACGTGCCCTATTAATATATTTAGGTGAAAGTAGCCTTTCAAAGCTAGTCTGGAGAAAAAAACTGCATCATAAATGTAAGAATAGTTCTGCCTTAGATGTCTTCTAGTGCAGCATGTTTTCGTATGGTTCTGTTTTACACTGTAAACAGATATTAAAGGTCAGTTAAGTAGCTATCACTTGAAATTTTATTTCTTTTCTTGCTCTTTCTCTCTTACTGTCTCTTCTCTTCCTTCCCCCACCCCCCCTCCATAGAAGTACCCAACAGGATGCATAGTTCTAACAGATTTCTAGAGTTTAGTGATGAACTAGTAATGAGACTGCTGTTGTGCTCTGAATGAAAACTTCTAAAAGAAGTCTGATCTTGAACATGTTGGAAAAAAGTCGATTTCCATTTGTCTTTAGTAGAGAAATGGCTTTTGTACTTCTGCTGTTTTCTGTTGTAAAATGTAACTATAAAACTAAGAATTCCTGTCTCTGCTACTTTGTATAACAAAGGCAAACTTTTTCTCAGTTTTTGATTACTGAATATGTTTTTTAACTCAAAGGAAATGTATTTGTGTTACTAACGCGTTTATTGATTGAAATTTAAAATCCCTTAAAATTGTGCTTGGACATTTGTTAAAAGTATTGTCCATGGATGTTATACGGCGATCACAAACTCAGTTGTACATATTGAAGCGATCCCTGCATGCCCTGCTTTCCTGAGTTCACCTTTTAGAACCTGTCGGCCAGAGTCCTACAGCAAGGGCAAATGAGATGTGCTCTATATTGACACATTCTGCAAGATGGCGAGACATTTTATTACATAGGTCTGCTAGAATGTATAAAATGTCTTTAAACTCTTTAATTTTCAAGATTGACTTTAGTTTTTCAGAAGGACTCAAAATAGTTTTCATCCAGGTGTTGCAAAAGGGGTGAGCATGTGTGAAAACTAGCTATGGCCATAAGCTGTGTTACAGATGAGCATTATGATACAGTTTTTCAAGAGGTTTTTGGGCCTCTGAAATGAGCCAAATCACTTGATCTTCAATATTTTGCAGGGTATGTTACCAATAAAATGATACAAGTTTTCTTAAAATTTTCCTGTAAGTGGGTGTACAGAAACATCATGCTAACAACTGCTTTTGGAGTAACTGCTGTGGATGTTTGTGGTTATATGTGTTTAGTCTTCATAATAATACAGTATTCAACTGTACATTGTATCTGCAGTCTGCAAACTGGTTATAATTAAAAGTATGTATAGGAAAAATTATCTTGTAATTTAGAGACTTGCATCGTAGATTACCTAGAAGTGCACCCAATTTACATGCTGATGTGTCAGTGCAAGAGTACTCTGTCAGTTTGTTCTCACACTGGGACTGAAACACCTTCCTTGTTGCCTGTGAACTTTGCTTCCCATTGATACAAGAGTGCTGCTTTCTAGTGGGAATTATATCCCACAGACAGGGGATGCTGAAACACAGTCTTAAGCAGAGGTAAAAAGAGCACAGCTGAAATGATCATTTCTAACATATAGTTCACAATTTTGGTAATGTTGGTACGGTAAATGTTCCAGGCTAGCACTTCTGCACAGGCAGCTATGTTACTCTCCTTCACAATATTCACAGTTGGGAAGTTTCAGACTTCAGAAAAATAGAAGCAGCAGTTTGTTAGAGAACTAATTAGATCAATAGGGAATTTTTTACAGCTGTCTGGGCTATATGATTGCAGTAATGAATGAAAAGAAGGAGGTTTTGAGAGTACTTTATATCTAAAGGACTATAGTAAGACACTGTCAAAAGTATCACCACAGAATAACCCAACAGTTATATTTTGCATCAAGTAACTGTGTGACTTGTCATGTTTTATTTGTGAAATGACGTGCCTGAATTTGTAGAAAAATGATTTGAAACCTGTTAGAAACAGTATAATTTCATATGGGTAGTTGGTCAGATTTAATGGGTCAGATTCTGGCTCCTGAATCCCAGAGCCTTTTGCATTGTGTTGCTTGAGATGCTGCTCTTTCAAGCTGAGATACTGCTGAGATTTCTAGCCTGTGCATGGACCTTTGAAGATTGTGGACGTATTGCTTCTCCTAGGCAGCTGGGGATTAGTTCCTCTAATTACCAATTAGTCTTTAGGTAAATTGTTCCATGCTTTGCTTCTATAGCTAGGCTAGAGAGAGATTTGGGGCTGCAGAGATGAGCTACCTTGGAGGTACATGCACTACTCTGTTATCGCTTCTTTGATTGCCATGTAGACTTATATTTGTCAAACTTTTGGAGCTCGTTTATTCCAAAGCAGTCCAAAATCGTAATGTTGCAAAGGTGACTTAAATTGTGGTTTTTGCCTTTTATTGTTCTGGGCTCTTGCCTCTGACTTGCAACACATTGTCACCTACCTGAACATTGACTTGTTTCTGTCCTTGTGCTTACAAATGCACTTAGTTATGAAACATATGCTGTACATACAATTAGATTGTGTAGTCAAAAAGCAGATTAATTGTGTTAATCTGCATTAACGACTCTAAAGTGACAGTGATTCCGTTGGGTGTCACTCGTAATTTGCACCAGACATGCACTGGGGATGTAGCAAAATCAAATTTAGAATTGAAGGAAGCAAGGGAAGTATGCTTTCTTATATGACTTTATTAGTGGTCTGAGGCTTTTTTTTTTTTTGTCTCCCCAAGATTGTGTCACATCAAGTGTAGGCACAAACATATGCAGTTAAGGTTGGTGCATGCTGTAGCTGCAGTGGCACCGTTTTGCGTTGATTTAGTGTTGAAGAAGCATTAAAACTTCTAAATCTAGTGTGGTGTTGTAAAAGTGTAATAGATATTTAGAAAATTTGTTGGTCATAATTCTCCAAAGCAGTTGCTAGTGTCTAATACTAAACAGATGAGAAAAGTCTTGTGTCTTGCCTTACTGATATTTTTGTCAGAAAGCAATAATGAGCTAAATGTTTTGAAAAGTGTGCTGCTTGGAGAAATACTCAAAATGTTCAGAACGCTTCAAGGTCTGAACTTCAAGCACTTAGCAGTTGCTGATTCTGTTTATCTTGGTTAGCTATACAGGTACTCTGCATAGTTATAAATTAGTTCTTACAGAAAGGAAATATTTAAATGGAAGAATTAGATATTTGCACTTTTGAATATTAGGGTTTTCTTAATGTGCATAAAACAAGTTGTAATTTTAAATGTTAGTTGCCTAGTCCAGCTAGCAACCAATCCCAGAACGTTTTAACTTCACAGCTCCAAAGATCTTTGGGTCTCTGCTTATAAACACCAAGTCAAAACAGGAGGAATCCTGGGTGCAGATCTGGTGTGCCTTGTGGGAGCCACCTACATCCAGTTTCTTTGTGGAAACTTGTAGTGGCCCAATGCTAGGTGGCTTCTCCAGGCACAAGATCTCTGCTTCTTCAGACTGTATTTTGTTCAGGGAGCCATTTCCTCTGAGGAGAAATGGAAGGCTGGATGGAAATACTTGTGGACTAAAACTAAGCTACCAGGGGAGCCTTATGCCGTTTATGTTAACTGAGAAGTTATGTTCAGTGTTGTGTGATGTATGTTTTGAAACATATGGTAGTTTACTACAGGAAAATATATTAATTTTACATCATGCTTTTCAGTACAATTAATGTTTTTTAGATGTCTAATCTGGCAGCAGTTACCATTTCTTAACCTGTCATTGATTCAGAACTAAAAAAGTTTAAAAAAACCTTGTACTTGAGTTTGTAGTATAAACAAGAGTGTTGATGTTACCTTGTTTTAACAATTTTTAGGTCTGTCATATGGAAGTCATACAGTTGGTTTCACACCACCGACTTCACTGACTAGAGCTGGAATGTCTTACTACAATTCCCCAGGCCTTCATGTGCAACATATGGGACCATCCCATGGTATTACAGTAAGTATTTAAAAGAGTAAATACTTGTTACCAATGTCAGTTTGGTTTTTAAAAGTTATGATTGCTTGTCCTTAAGTTTTTTTACAAAATATTTTTGTAAATTTTTGGTTTTGTCTCCTTACTCCAAGATACCTATTGCTGCTTTCTTCAACCCTGTTTTTTCTCTTGACCCCTCAGAACCCGATTCTTTTTGGAGAACCTTATTTTCTGCAAAAGAATAGGATGTGTTATCATCTTAAGGACAGTAATAGGTATCATCTTAATGGATCAGCAGGCAGGGTCTGAGAAATGATGTTCTAAGCTACTAAGCCTATCCTGGGAAGTAAAAACATTGCTTTCATTTTTCTCCTAGTGTCTTGGTTTGAAAGACAGGTGTC